AAGTTGTGATCAGGGTTTTTAGTAGAATAGCACCACCAGATCTTTCCCTGGCGTAAGAGACGACTAACCGAAGCAACTATCCCTGTCCCTAGCTGTGAAAGTTATCCGTTTCTTATGATTCCTTCTGTCCCTGGCCTAAATTGCCTTCCCATGTCGTTTCCCTTCTTCAGGTAAAACACGAACTCCCCAAAACATCTCCCTCTTCCACTTTCTGCAAGCCCTCTTCAAGTCAAACCCTACGAGTAAGCAAGGACAACTGTGCCATGTGAAAGTCGGGCCATTGTCTCTGCTTAAAATGATGTTGCTCCGGGCGATGACAATCACCCATATCGAAATGGAGAGAAGTCTAAGACGTCATAAGCCATGGAAAAATGAGTCACTGCCCGGGGAGCGTCTGTGCGAGTGTGAATTGGCACCGGGCACGCCGGTGGGCGATCCGCCAAGGCTTCAGCAAACACCGCTCTCCCAAAAATGATAATAAACGAAACCAATCGGCAACAAGAGCTTCACCTCACCTGAGTGCTACGAGGGTCTTTCAGCCAGCACTCACACAATCAGGACTGAGAAGACAGCGCAAGAAACGGACTAGTGAGGTTAAGAAAAGCATTGAGCGCATCTACTACCGAGTCAGACAAGAACGTCGAAAGATAAAGTGATCAACAAAGCGGGGGAGAAAAGATTCGAGGAAACCCAGGGAACGGCTGATATGGGCATGTCCAAGGAGACGTTGAAGGCAAATACACGTACATTGGGGAGCAGGAATCATTGATAATAGATTATATCATAACAATCCCAGAAGGATTAGAACTGGTAGAATCAATGGAAATAGAAAGGATAGGATCAGATCACCTGCCACTAACGATGACACTTTGTTTAGCATATCAAAAAGAACAGACACAAGAGAAAAATACTATTTTTATTCAAGATTGAAGTGAGAAAGAAAAAAAATATTATAAGAACAAAATAAAACATGCAGCATTTATTAACAATGAGAGAGAAAACCCCTACATAGACCAACAGTAAATAAATCATGTTGGGATAAAGAATTTACTAAAAGCAAAAGGAGAATGAGGAAAGGATTAAGACAAGTTAGAAGAAGTGCACTCAACATAGATAATTATAAAAATGAGAGAAGAGAATACAAAAAACTGCCCAAAAAAAAGAACGAGAGAAAAGAGGAATATGAGAGAGAACTATAACAAATAAAATCGGAAGGAGAAACATGGAAATACATAACTAAGGAAGCAAAACGAAGCACACAAAAGTACGGAAATATAAAAAAATAGAAGAAATATTTCTTGGAAAGATAGAGCGGAAACAACTCAAAGATATTCAAAAAACAGATCAAGGGGAGAAACAGAAGAAATACCAGAATTATCTGACTAGAAGATAAACAAGCAAGTTAAATGTCTGAAGAAAAAAAAGTAAGAGAAAATGAAATAAAAAACGAAACATGGATTTACGGACCAATGAATGTTTTGGGCATACTAAGGAAAATCATAAAAAGGGGGTGGAGAGGTGAACAGCTTAAATCTTCATGGAGGAAAGGGGTCATAACATCAACATATAAAAAAGAAGACGAGGAAGACATCAGAAACTGCAGAGGAGTAACACTTTTGAACACGGCCTATAAAGTGTATGCCATGAATTGAAACAGAAAACAAACAGCAAGAAAATTCTTTTAGACTCGCAATCGGGCTTCAGAAGAGAAAAAGGTGTAATAGACAACATTTATATTATAATTCATTTGTCCAATATAAAGATAAAAAGGGAGAGGAAGGAGTTATATGCATTTTTTGCAGATTTTGAAGTGGCATTCGACATAATAAAGGCGTGTAAAGTGCCCCCAAATTTTAAAGAATATTTTTCAAAATCACAAAGCTTCGCCTCGAGCCAGATGAACAGAGAATTCTTTAATTTGGAAAAAATCCTACGCATGGTTTATGCACTAGTGGTGTTGACACCGACGGGCGTATAGATAGTTTTGAAAATAACCACTTTTTCTGTATTTGAGGCTCTTTAAACGTATGTCCGTTGAAATCTCGAAATCGATTTTCCGCAGCGTTAAAAAATCTTTCCCTACACTATGTCTAATACTTCGTATACATGTAGGTATGCGTGAAAGTAAAAATAAAATGCACGAACGTCAAAGAGAAGTTAGAATAGGAATAAAAAACAAACATGTCATTGTATTGTTAGCAATATAATACTTATACTCTATACCAAAAGAAGATAGTGTAAATACTAGATGAAGGATGAGAGGGGAAGCCCAAATTGAGTTTTATAAAAAAGATGAAACCAGGAAAGAGGAAGAGTGTAAATTCTGTGTAATATGTTAGTTTAACACTTTTGTATTCGTATAATAGTTTATATTGTATGTTTTGTATAATATTTTTAGTACGCTAACCG